TCAGATGCTAGCAAGAGGCAGAGTAAATGCAAAATAGCAAATAGATATTAATTGTAAAATCTGGAAATGGTAGATCATGCTTCTCAGAAAGCCTTGTTTTCTCATAAATGTGAATAAATACATTGCATATATAGTTATGCACCACATAATGACTTTTCAGGCAAGGACAGAACGCATATGTGTGACAGTGGTCCTGTAGGATTATAATACCATATTTTTATTGTCCTTTTCTATGTTTAGATATGTTTAGCACGAATCCTTACTGTTGTGTTACAATTGCCTACAGTGTTCAGTAAGGCAACATGCTGTACAGGAGTGTGCAGTGGGCTATGCCATCTAGGTTTGTGTAAGTACATTTTGATGTTTGCACAGTGATCAAATCGCCCAACGATGCATTTCTCAGAATATATTCCTGTCATTAAGCAACATATGACTATATTTAATTAAGTCAGAGTTTCAGGTGGTGAAATGGTTGCAAGTTCTTATAATGGAATTAAATCCATCAGTAATTCAGGGTATTCTGTAGTCATGTTATAAATTTCAGTTGCTCTCTGCATAAATAAATTAGCAAAGCACTAATTTCAGAAAGCAAGAATAGATAGATAACTCAATTAATATATAAAAATTTCAATACTGAAATTCACTTTAGCTTTTTTCAGCCAATCACTTTGGAAATGATGCAGGGGGAAATATCAGCTATCACTGAACTTCCAATATGTCCTTGTACAGAAATCAGAATCCATTTGCGCACCTTAACCGCAGCTCCCTTGTTTGTTTCCGTCAGGCGCCACCATCAGCGTGATCATCGACGTGGACGTTCGCGCTTCTGTCATTGTCTCCGCGCTCATAGCCACTCTGTACACCCTGGTGGGCGGGCTCTACTCGGTGGCCTACACAGATGTCGTTCAGCTCTTTTGCATTTTCGTAGGCCTGGTAAGTGGGGACATGCACCACATTGTCTTCATTTTTTTCCCCTGTAAAATATAATATATTTTGTACTA